CAGTGGATTTGGTACATTTTTGAACGTTTGGCCGGCATCATAGTCGGTATCATCAGTGAGTTTTGCCATTTTCCCCACCAAGCCACGAACTCGTCAAAGAGAGAAGTGAAGTCAATCCTTCCACCAAAGTTCTGCCGAAAGCGGTTACAATATCACTCCTATTTCTGTCCTGGCCTATCTATCTACTCTTTACCCTCTTATCCTACTCCCGCCCTATCACAACTTTTCACTTGTTTACATTACACTCGTCAAAAATGTGTGCCCTTTTGTGGCAAATCTAATGTGGCTCCATCACACTTGCTATCTACCCCAACCCCTCTCTTTCTATCGGCTTATCCGACTCGGGCCTCCAATCCGAATCCCTTCATTGTCTCGTGGGTCAGTTCCTTCTCTTTCTGTTGACCGATTTCACTCGGGTCCAGTCGCTATTTCTCAAGACCCTAGAAGCATGTACACTGCCGCTTCACTGAGCGGAACGCTTAAGTTCTGATTCCCATGCTTGCAGATATCAGGAATTCCCTTCACAGATCTTCCCCTTCATTAAACCTACGTTATCTGAGCAAACTTTGGACGCCTATCTCTGTTCGCATGCAGCATCTCAAGTTGATTTCCGGTACATTTTGGCGATAACACCGAATTTCCGTGACTGTTTGCTTATCCGTCTGCCCCACGCCCTGACTACCAGGCCCACAAAGTTGTACGGGTTTATTTAAAATGAACATCACTCACTGACAAACGTCTTCCCTTTATTGCAGAAAACCCCTTCCCCCCACTTTCTTCCTCTGGTTAGCGGCAGATCCTTGATCCAGACGTCTCCTTTTTGGTTGGTCTTGCCCCATTTTTGTTCTGCTCGAGTTTGTCTAGGCAGTAGACAAAGTTATCGCTAACTCTACCTTCCTCCAATCTCCTGTTCATTAGATTTTTCTCCCAAACGATGCCAATGGGGGTCTTCTTTTTATTGCCTTTCAATTGATCTCGTGTCCAGTCTATACGATCTATTCCGCTAATCCTCATCTTTCGGTATCCATTTTCCTGCAGAGCCGCTAATGTTCCTTGATTCTTGCGCTAATCTTTCTCCCTATTTAGCCAATATATTTCTGTCCGCAGGCGCCGCAGCAAACTCCTGAACAATCCAATCTATCTACCCTTTTATGTTGCGTTGGTAGACTTGTGAAAAGTGTTGATTTCTCTTTCATGGCCACCTGAATATTCCATTTACTCAATATTGGCCGCAGTTGTTGAGTTAGTTCGCAGGAAGGAAGGCATATCCAGTTTTTTGAATCCTTCATCGTCCTTTCTGTCCTTTCTGTCCCAGAATTCTACATCCGTTAAGCGTAGGCTTCGGATGATCATGCTCCTCATTATTCTAATCTTCAGCCCGTAATTGTGATGGGACCGTAAATTAAGTATCCTCCCAGCATAGGAATTCTTTCTGAACAATTTCTTTTTGACCGTCTCATTAGAACGAATCACTTCAACGTCAAGGAACGGTAACCGTTCACCTTCCTCTGCTTCCATCGTGAATTGCATTTTTCCATCAATCTGGTTTACAAACTTCAGAAACTCTTCCAGTTTTTCTCTTCTACGTGACCAAAGTGTGAAGCAGCCGTCCAGATACCGCATGATCACTGCCGGTTGTAGCGGTGCCAGCTTGAAGCTCTCTTCTATTTCGTTCATGTATACGTTTGCCAAAAGTGGTGAGAGCGGCGATCCCATGGGAACTCCAAATATATGTTTAGAGATGGTCCCGTTAAATGTAAAATAGGTTGTCCTTATTGTCAAGTCGATTGGTCCGATCCGTTGTGATTCCAAGATATCCTCCTCTCGGTCCGGAATATCCAGCAGGGCCGTTAGCGCATTTTCTACAGCGATATTTGTATACATTGATTCCACATCGAAACTTACCAATAAGTCTGTTACTTGCGGTTTCATGTTTTTGATTTTTTGAGAAAATTCATACCAATGTTTCACCGTGTTTGAGTCGTCAAGCCGTCCTGTTATTAAGTCATGCTCTGGAGTTTTTGAAAAGCTTCCGGAGACAGGATCCTGGCCAAATCACGCTGGATCTTTGACTTAATATCTATAAACTTAAGCAACTTATAACATTCACTATCATAGATCTCACTTATTTTCTGAATAGAAGCCTGGTGGACATATTAATTAACCTTATCCGAGTGGTACGGTCTCTCAAGGTCACAGAGCTTAGGCGCTCTGCTAAGTGAAGCGGCTTCTATGACCTTGAGAAATAGCGCCTGGAGTGAAATGCACACTCGGACTGGAACCGAGTAAAATCAGTCAACAAGAAAGAGAAGGAACGGATCTACGAGACAATGAGGGGATCCGGATTTGAGGCCCGAGTCGGATCAGCCGATTGAAATAGAGGGGTCGGGGTAACTAGCAAGTGGGATGAGGCCACACTAAGGCACACATTTTGACGAGTGAGAAGTTGTGATGTGGAGGAAGTGGGATAAGAGGGAAAGAGTAGATAGATAGACAATGACAGAAAGAGAATTGATAGTGTAACCTTTTTGGGCAGAACGATTGTCAAGGGATTGACTTCACTTGTCTCTCTTTAACGAGTTCGTAGCTTAGTGCGGAGAATGGCAAAACTCATTGATGATGCGAGGTCAACCCACTTCTATTAAGGATATGATTTGAATCGGCAGTGTTTGTTTAGAGGAAAGCTTATTTTTCTCTTTTTTTTATCTCACTCTTAACATTTGAGACA